CTCTCTGCCTCTGTAACTGCCTTTCAAATAAATCTTCAAAAAAAAAAAAAAAAAAGTGAAGCAGCAGTTGGGACTCGAGCCGGTGCCCATATGGGATTCCAGCACTGCAGGCGGTGGCTTTACCCGCTACACCACAATGCTGGCCTGACCTTATCCTTAGATACCACCTGCTTGTGTCCTGCAATTCTTTGTCTGAGTTGTTAATGTGACATACATTCCTCCCCTCAAGGAGATTTAGCAATAACTGAGGAGTTATCAACACCACATGATGATGCCTTTAAGTGCTTTGGATCTTTGAAATACAGATGCCTCTTGTTGCCCCATGAGCCTTCCCCTCTTTTACACCTTATTACAAATTCAGTTACAATCACAAATAAGAATACCTTTATATCTAGGAAAGTGGAGAGGGAAGCTGGGACTTGAATGAGGGGTGGGATTATTATTATTTAAAACATTTGTTTTTATTTTATTTGAAAGGCAGAGAGAGAGAGTGAGCCTCCATCTGGTGGTTTACTTCCCCAAATGCCCACAATGACCAGGGTGAAGCCAAGAGTGGAACTCCATCAGGTCTACCAAGTGTTTGGCATGGAGCCGTGTACTTGAGCTGCCTCCCAGGGTGCTCATTAGCAGGAAGGTGGACTGGAAGTGGAAGAGCTGGGACTTAAGCCAGGCATTCTGATGTGGGATGTGGGCATCTCCAATGGCAGCAACCCCCAGGGTGGGATATTTAATCGCTGTTAGTTACTAATCACCATATGTGTATAAATATATATATTTTTATTTTTTAAGATTTTATTTTATCTGAAAGAGTGAGTTAATAGAGATAGAAGTCTTCCATCTGCTGGTTTACTTCCCAGATGGCTGCAGCAGCCGGAGCTGAACTGATCTGAAGCTAGGAGCCCCCTCCAAGTCCCTCACACAGGCGCAGAGGCCCAAGCACTTGAGCCATCCTCTGCCGCTTTGCTAGGCACACTAGCAGGGAGCCAGACTCGAAACAGAGTGGCCGGGTCACAAACTGGTGGCCATACAGGATGCTGGCGCTGCAGGCTGGGACTCTAACCTGCTGTGCCATAGTGCTGGCCCCCATACATATATATATATATATATATAATTTAAAGATTTATTAATTTGTTTGAAAGTCATAATTACAGGGCCCGTCCCGTCAGTGTGGCTTAGCAGGTAAAGCCACTGCCTAAGACGTGGGCATCCCGTATGAGCACCTGTTCTCATCCAGTTCCCTGCTAATTTACATGGGGAAAGCAGCAGAAGATGGCCCAAGTCCTTGGACCTCTGTCCACACATGGGAGACCCTGAAGAAGCTCTTGGCTCCGTGTTTTTTTTACAGAGTGGTCAGAGAGAGAGAAAGAGAAAGAGAGAAAGGTCTTCATTTGAAGTTGGTTCACCCTCCAATGGCTGCTGCGGCTGGCGCACCGCGCTGATCAGAAGCCAGGAGCTTCTCCTGGTCTCCCATGCGGGTGCAGGGCCCAACGACTCGGGCCATCCTCCATTGCACTCCCGGGCCACAGCAGAGAGCTGGCCTGGAAGGGGAGCAACCGGGAATCTGGTGCCCCGACCGGGACTAGAACCCGGGGTGTGGGCGCTGCAGGCGGAGGAATAGCCTATTGAGCTGTGGCGCCGGCCAGCCGGCTCCTGTCTTTGGACCAGCCCTACTCTGGCTGTTGCGGCCATTTGGGGAGTGAATTAGTGGACGGAAGATCTCTCTCTCCCTGCCTCTCTTCTCTTCCTCTCTAAACTCTGGTCTTTCAAATAAATAAATAAATCTTAAAAAAAGAAATCTCCCGTCTGCTGGTTCACTCCCCAAATGGCTGCAAGGGTTGGGTCAGGCCAAAGCCAGGAGCCAGGAACTTCATTTGAGTCTGCCACGTGGGTGCAGGGGCTCAAGCACTTGGACCATCTTCTGCTGCTTTCCCCATGTAAATTAGCAGGGAGCTGGAAGGGAAATGGAGCAGCTGGGATGCCGGTGCTACAAACAGCAGCCTAGCTCGCTGTGCCACAGTGCCAGCCTCCAGCATACATATTTGAATAAGCATTGTTAGTCATCTACTATAATCTTGATTATATAGGAAAAACTGAGACCCTAAGAGATGAAGCAGTTTCCTTAAGTAATTTAATGGCAGAATTTGAACCCTAGAACTTGGCCTCAGTAGAACTACCAGGGTTTACATTTTAAAGTGCTGTCATACATTTCCAAGAGTAGAATAATACAGACAAAAGTGTGCCAGTGTCTGGGTAATCAGATTAGAGGAGGGTGTGTGTGTGTGTGTGTGTGTGTGTGTTTTAAGTAAATATCCATTGCTTAGCTGTGTCTGACACATAGTAGGTATTGAGTGAATATTTGCAAGCATGAAGTTCTTTCTCCGAGCAAGGTGTTATGCTTTGTGCCATGAAGGAATGTAAAGTAAATCAGGGATCTACCCCTTACGCAGAACTTTCAGATGATGGTCACTTAAGAGAACCAGAGGATTGATTAGCAGATGTCAAGGTAATACAGATAGTGTGGTCAGGAAGGACTTGACTAAGGAAAATTTGTAGTATGCTACAAAGGAATTAACTACATGTATAAACTCACATTTTATTTGTATTCTGTTGAAAACTGCTCTGTACATCCTTGGTATACCCACCCTGAAATCGGAGTTCTGTATTCTCGTCTGAGACTGAGTTCTTGCTAAATTGCCACGAGTAGCTTTTGCTAGGTGAATTCAAATTCTCCACTTATTTGTTTTTGTTGATTTACTTTTAAAGCTGGTTTTGAGTTCTTGTTGCCCAGTATGGATTAGAATAAAATATGACCTAATTACATAAATGTTATTGAATACTATTGTGAAAGCATTGCGTTGAGAAACAGGATAATCAAGGCAGGTGTTGTGGTGCAGCCGATTAAACTGCTACTTGGGGTGCCTGCATCTCATGTTGGAGTGCTGGTTAGAGTTGTGGCTACTACCCTCCCCATCCGATTTCTTGGTAATACACCCTGGGAAATCAGCAGATGATGGCTCAGGTGCTTGGGCTCCTGCCATTCACGTAGGAGATCCAGGTGGAGCTGTGGGCTCCTGGCTTTGGCCTGGCCCAGCCCTGCCTGTTGTGAGCATTTGGGGAGTGAGCTAGCAGAGAGAAGATAAAGCCGCAGATGATGACTCAAGTGTTTGGGCCCTTGCCATCAATGTGGGAGACCTAGATGGAGCTCCTGGCTTTGCCAGGCCTGGCTGGCTATTGTGGGCATTTGGAGGGGATGAACCAGCAGATGGAAGATATTCATTCTCTATCTCTCTCTCTCACTCTCTCACTCTTTGACTCTCTCACTCTCTCTGTTGCTTCACCTTTCAAATAGATGAAAATAATAAATTTTTAAAAAAGAATTCACAGCCTAAGAGGGACACAAAGATGAAAGCAGTTGCATTGCTATGTGGTAAGTATATAAGTAAAAGCATGTGTGGGGGATAGAGGTAGTCAAGAATGCAAGCGGTTTTAATGTCTCTGTGAGCAGATTTCTGGAAAACAATGACAGCTAGATTTTAAAGCTAAATAGGAACTTTCCAAATGCAGGGAAGGGAGAGCCAGTTCAGGCTGAGAAAACGTGAGATGTGAAATAGCGTGGTGTGTTAAAAGACAGTTTTGAACCCTTTCTCTGAAATGTAAAGTGGGATGCTTGGGGAAGAGGTGGTAGGAAACAATGCAGTGTATCTAGAGCAGGCCTAAGGTCTGCTGTTTTGTCTGGCCTGACAATCAACTGGGGTCTTAGGGAGCCAGTTTGGATGTAAGTTAACTAAGTAGATTTTTTCCCCCTTCCTTTCTGAATCCCTTAGGAGAAGAACCATGATGAAAGATCATTGAAGTGGCCGGCGCCGCGGCTCACTAGGCTAATCCTCCGCCTGTGGCGCCGGCACATCGGGTTCTAGTCCCAGTCGGGGCACTGGATTCTGTCCCGGTTGCCCCTCTTCCAGGCCAGCTCTCTGCTATGGCCCGGGAGTGCAGTGGAGGATGGCCCAAGTGCTTGGGCCCTGCACCCCATGGGAGACCAGGAGAAGCACCTGTCTCCTGGCTTCTGATCGCAGCACGCCAACCGCGGCGGCCATTGGAGGGTGAACCAACGGCAAAGGAAGACCTTTCTCTCTGTCTCTCTCTCACTGTCCACTCTGCCTGTCAAAAAAAAAAAAAAAAAAAAAATCATTGAAGTTAGAATTGGTGGACTTCTTGGGGACACGTAAGACTTAAAGATAGGGCATTAACCTAGGGGTTAAGACACTTGGTAGCACATTGGAGTACTTGGGTTCTATTCCCAGCTTTGATCCTGACTCCAGCTTCCTGCCACTGCAGACTCTGGAAGGCAGCAGGGATGGCTCAAGTAGTTGAGTTCCTGCCACCCACGTGGGAGACCAGGGTTGAGCTCATTACTTCTGCCCAGCCCCAGCTGTTGCAGGCATTTGCAAAGTGAACTGGCAAATGGGAAGCCTCTCTCTACCTCTCATATAAATTAGAAAAAAAAATTAACAGGAAGTTTTTAAAAAAAGTAATAGTAGTAAATTATTGGGATCCTGGTACCTGATCTTCTAGCAGGTCACTTGGCATAAAATGTTGCAAGTTGTACAATAGGGAAGGGCATGCAGTAGCAGCATCTCTTAGGTCATGCTTGTTTATGTCAGCTGATGCCCAGTTGGCCATAAACCAGCCTCAAGAACGCTGTGTACACGATGGTTCTGTGGAGTCCAGTCACCTGGAACCTAGTGCTGCAACCAGAAGTGCCTCACGTGGCTTTGCCCCAAAGGACTTTGTTGATCTCATCTCCTTGTCACGACCTCAGCCACAGTCTTGGTTGTTCAGAGGCTGGGGCAGTGTTTTTGTGGTTGAGTTACAGGAAAGAGTTAACTACTCCTTGAGTGTTTCATATTTAGCTCCCTCAAAAATGCTGCTGATTTAGTGTTGCCCCAGATTTTATACTTAGGTTCTCTAATTTGTAACAGTTTGTCTTTACTCTTCCACAGGCTTTCTTGATCATGGATGGTGAAGATATACCAGATTTTTCAAGTTTAAAGGAGGAAACTGCTTATTGGAAGGAACTTTCCTTGAAGTATAAGCAAAGGTAATGTTGAAAGGTGTACTAAAAATGGCAGAGGGCATTTGGAATATACCATGTCTATCTGTGCATTTTTTGGGATATAAATCTAAATTTAGTTTTAGATTTAGGGTGGAGATTGTAGAAAGTTGCAACGTTACTTGTATTTATGTAGTGTAAAATACAGTAAATCTATATATTGTACAAATTATAAAAACAGTAGTGTTAATTATGATTTCTTTGGATTGTTGCCTCCTTTGCACTTACTTGGATGGATTGTCTTGGCCTGCTTTGTGTGCCCTGATTCTGCCTCATCATTTAGTCGTTTGGGGATTCTGATCAGCTGCCTGTGTTTTAGACTTCCTCTCTTCAGGCAGGCGGTGTCAGTGTCTAGAGCCAATTGAACTTTGAGGGAGCAGGAAGTGCTTTAGGGCTGTGGAGATTTTCCCAACTAAATAAATGAAATTTTATAAAACTTTTGGATAATTTTTATGCACCAACGTTTGTTTTAAATTTCTTTTTTAAAAATGGAATCTAAAATATTTATACATTTTCTTACTTTTTTTGGTAATAGTTTTGCTAAGTCATAGCCAACCTTGTATTGCTTTCTTTTCTTTTCTTTTTTTTTTTTTTTGACAGAGTGGACAGTGAGAGAGAGAGACAGAGAGAAAGGTCTTCCCTTTGCCATTGGTTCACCCTCCAATGGCCGCCACGGCTGGCACACTGCGGCCGGCGCACCGCGCTGATTCGAAGGCAGGAGCCAGGTGCTTCTCCTGGTCTCCCATGGGGTGCAGGGCCCAAGCACTTGGGCCATCCTCCACTGCACTCCGGGCCACAGCAGAGAGCTGGCCTGGAAGAGGGGCAACCGGGACAGAATCCGGCGCCCCGACCAGGACTAGAACCCAGTGTGCCGGTGCCGCAAGGCAGAGGATTAGCCTAGTGAGCTGCTGCGCTGGCCGCACTTCTTTATAAATGCAGTAAATAAAAGATCTAGAGATTAGTATAATAGCTACCTGAATGTGAAATAGTGATGTGAATAAATGATATCTTGAGTTGTCTGTAGCAGCTCTATTGTGATGTGAGAATATCTGTAATTTCAGTTGAATAGAATTGAAGAAAATGCCGAATTTAAATTACTTCAGTGAAAATAGAGGTGTATTTATCCCCCCATCTAATTTTGTAGAGGATTAATAATGGTATTGATCCATGTAGATGTTGTGTAGATACTGTAACCATCGGTTGATGAGTTCTTTTGAGGCTTACAGCTTATTTTCACTGGACCCTGAATAGACAGAGTTAGAGATGCAAAACTGATTATCTTTACTATTTAGTATATTTTAAGAGAGTATTAGCATTCATGTAAAAATTACTGAATTGATATACAATCATCTTTGGTTCCTGTTATAACTGATGTTTCCCACTTTGTTCCTGATTAGCTTCCAGGAAGCTCGGGATGAGCTAGTTGAATTCCAGGAAGGAAGCAGAGAATTAGAAGCAGAGTTGGAGGCACAATTAGTACAGGCTGAACAAAGAAATAGAGACTTGCAAGCTGATAACCAAAGACTGAAATATGAAGTGGAGGCGCTAAAGGTAATGGTGGCAGTTGAAGCCGGTGTATAATATGCTGGGTTTTTATTAAAATGAGAGAGACTGTTTTTGGGAATGATGCTTGAGAACAGACAATAAGAAATATTTTTAAAGATTTATTTATTTATTTAAAAGGCAGAGTTACAGAGAGGCAGAGGCAGAGAGAGATCTTCCATCCACTCGTTTACTACCAAAATGGCTGCAGCGGCTGGAGCTGGGCTGATCCAGGAGCTTCCTCTAGGTCTCCCACATGAGTGCAGGGGCCCAAGGACTTGGGCCATCTTCCACTGCTTTCCCAGGCCATAGCAGAGAGCTGGATCAGAAGTGGAGCAGCTGGGACTCGAACCGGCACCCATATGGGATGCCAGTACTGCAGACCGGGGCTTTAACCCATTGCACCACAGCACCGACCCCAACAAGAAATATTTTAAAAGGCTTAAAGTGAATGTTTGAATAGACTGTTTTCTTTCACGGAAGCAAGTGGTTTAGAGTTTAGAATTAGAAACTTCATAGTTGACACTTTTCTAGTTCTGATGTTGCTAGCTGTTTTATATTCCTGAAGTTTTCAAGAGCCACTTGATTTGACACATGGTTTGCCTTGTTCTGCGGTCTTTAAAGTTCTATGAAATGTGCATTTATTGTTTATAACTCCTTCAGTTTTGGAATTTAGTTTGAGTTAAAAATTTGTCTTCTACAAAGGAATTTTTGGGAGTAAAAGGATTAGCCCCTTGCTCTGCTTTTCTCCACCTGCCTTGGCCAAATGAGAGGAGTGTTGTTTCTGTGCCTGGGGAGCTGTGGGTTTGGGAAGGGGGGAGGGAGGCAGGGAAGAAGCAAGGAGTGGAACTCACGAGCGAGTTTCCTTCTCTGCACTGACCCTGGCTTGCATTCAGCCCGAGTGCCCAGAAGTTCCTCCACCATGTTTGGGGATTTTGAGGCAGGGATTTCATTATTTTATTTCTTTTTATTAAAGAAGATTGTCTGTATTGTGAGGTGAGAGAATCCTTGCCTGTTAGAACCTGATGATTGGAGTTTGCGTGGGGTGTGATGAATGTCCTGTGTGGCTCTCTGATTGCTCTTACCTGGTTCTTGCTGGAAAAAAAGGAAAGACTGAGTTAATGACGGTTGCCTTCCTCTCTCTACTCATGCCTTCAGGAGAAACTGGAACATCAGTACGCACAGAGCTACAAGCAGGTTTCCGTATTAGAAGATGATTTAAGTCAGACTCGGGCCATTAAGGAGCAGTTGCACAAGTACGTGAGGGAGCTGGAGCAGGCCAATGATGACCTGGAGCGAGCAAAAAGGTAAAGAGTGATACATTTTGGGAGAATAACCAAAGTTGGCAATTGGTGATTAAAATCTATATGATTAGCCTCAACCTCTCACAGATATTAGTCCCAGAACATTTGCTTTTGGTTTGTGCCACCTATAACTCATTGTATTGAAAAGAACCAGAATTCTTAGCTTCCCAGATAATACCCTTCCAAGCTTTGTTCTTTTGGTTTTTCCCATTTCCTTCTCCTCTTGTGCATAATAATTGTTGGTCTTATTGGATTTTCTACTATCTTCTGCTTTTATATTTTGTTTCTTTTCGTTCTCTTCTGCCTTAATATTGACTGATGAATTTTCTCAAAATACTGCTTTTATTAGAATTTTCCTGAATAGCTTTCTGTGGCATACTATTACTGTTGCCTAGCTTCCATTCATCTGTATTTAGTTGTTTCTTAACTACTGCAAACCTCGTAAAGTAAGTCCCATTACTTTATAATGTCACCTGATATTTTTTTCTGCAGTATTTATTGACTTTTATACCTTTTTATTTTTTAAAGATTTTACTTATTTGAGTGGTAGAGTTACAGAGAAAGGGGGGGGGGAGAGAGAAAGGTCTTCTATCCACTGGTTTGCTCTCCAGATAGCTGGAGCTGAGCCAACCTGAAGCCAGGAGCCAAGAGCTTCATCCAGGTCTCCCACGTGGGTGCAGGGGTCTAAGCATTTGGGCCATCTTTCACTGCTTTCCTAGGCCATAGCAGAGAGCTGGATTGGAAGAGGAGCAGCTGAGACTTGAACTGGTGCCCATATGGGATTCTGGCACCACAGGCAGAGGCTTAGCCCACTATGCCACAGCACTGGCCCCAACCTTTTTTTAAGGTTTATTTATTTTTTTATTTGAAAGGCAGAGTTATAGAGAGAGACCTTCCATCTGCTTGTTCACTCCCCAAATAGCCAGCAGGGCCCAGCTGTAGCCAGGAGCTTCTTCTGGATCTCCCACCTGGCTGTAGGGGCCCAAGCACTTGGGCCATCTGTTGCTTCTTTCCCAGGCCATAGCAGAGAGCTGGATTGGAAGGAGCAGCCGAATCTCGAACCAGCACCCATATGAAATGCTGCACTGCAGATGACAGCTTTGCCTTCTACACCACAGCGCCGGCCCCATTTATTGACTCTGAAGTGACTGATAGGCCAGGGTGGAGGATCTAATGCTAAGCTAGTCACTGCCCTTGAGGGTGGTGCACATGGATGTTCAGCATGACAAATGCAGGGCACAGAGAGGGGAGCGGCCAGTGCCTCTGGGTGAGCTGGAGAAGCCTTTGCAGATACTAGAGCTATGTCTGCAAGGAGGAACAAGAGTTAATCAGGTGAAGAGGCAGGTGAAAGGCAGAGAAGCAGGAAAGAGCTTGAGGTATTGATGTTTCATTTTGCTTGCCACGTACCAGACAGTGACTGACCAGAGGATGGTTGGGGTCAGGTTGTGAAGAGTCTTTGGTCTGTGTTTGAAAGTCACTCTGTAGGCAAAGGGAAACTCTTTAAAATTTTTTTGAGCAAAGGAGTAATATCAGAGTTATGATTCAAGAAGGTAATACTGAGGCGTTGGAAGCACGGAGAAGTGCAGAACATTTGGGAGTAATCCATTTAGGGAGAAGAAGTAAGGCAGAGAGAAGGTTGAGGAGGAAATAGATTCCAGAGACATTTTGGCAATTGACAGGAATTGCAGAGTAGGTGTTGAATGAATGAGAAATGCAAGGTGGAAAAAGAGCTGACAGGAAGTAAGTGAAGTGGAACCTGGGACTTACAATGTTAGAAACAAATTCTTAGCCGGCGCCGCGGCTCACTAGGCTAATCCTCCGCCTTGCGGCACTGGCACACCGGGTTCTAGTCCCGGGCGGGGCACCGGATTCTTTCCCGGTTGCCCCTCTTCCTGGCCAGCTCTCTGCTGTGGCCCAGGAGTGCAGTGGAGGATGGCCCAAGTTCTTGGGCCCTGCACCCCATGGGAGACCAGGAGAAGTACCTGGCTTCTGCCTTTGGATCAGCGCAGTGCGCTGGCTGCAGCGCGCCAGCCGTAGTGGCCATTGGAGGGTGAACCAACGGCAAAAGGAAGACCTTTCTCTCTGCCTCTCTCTCTCACTATCCACTCTGTCTGTCAAAAAAACAAACAAACAAAACAAAAACAAAACAAAACAAATTCTTACATGCTTCTTTATATTCAGAAGTTTTCTTCTGGGGCCAGTGCTGTGGCATAGTAAGGTAAGCCTCTGCCTGCAGCACTGACATCCCATATGGGCGCTGGTTTGAATCCTGGCTGCTCTACTTCTGATTCAGCTCTCTGCTATGGCCTGGGAAAGCAGTGGAAGATGACCCAAGTGCTTGGGCTCCTGCACCCAGGTGGGAGACCCAGAAGAAGCTCCTGGCTTTGGATTTGCCCAGCTCTGGCCGTTGTGGCCATTTGGGGGAGAGAACCAGCAGATGGAAGACACTTTCCTGTCTCTCTCCCTCTGTAACTCTGCCTCAAATAACTTAGTAAATCTTTAAAGAAAAAGTTTTCTTCCTCAAAATTCATAAATGAGACTGTATCATGTTTAAAATCCAGTGAAAATATAAATAGTGTAACAGTTGGCCTTTCTTTAAGGAATTTTAAGGAATTTACTGAATGGCCCGAATGGAAATAGAGACCCTGAATCCACAGAAGGTTGGGAGAAAGACCAGCTCATTCTCTTTGAACTTGGTGGAACAGACTAGGTGAAGAATGTCATGAGATAAACTGACAGTTTCCTTTTGTGTTAGCTGTTTGCACATGTTATTTATTTACTTACTTTATGGACTGTTAATTTTTTTTTCCAGGGCAACAATAGTTTCACTGGAAGACTTTGAACAAAGGCTAAATCAGGCCATAGAACGGAATGCATTTTTAGAAAGTGAACTTGATGAAAAGGAATCTTTGTTGGTCTCTGTACAGCGGTTAAAGGATGAAGCAAGAGGTAAATTTTATAGTTTAAAGAATATTTGTCGGGGCTGGCACTGTGGCGTAGTGGGTTAAGCTGCTACCTGCAGTGCTGGCATCTTACATGGGCGCCAGTTCGTGTCCCACTTGTTCCACTTCCGATCCAGCTTCCTGCTAATGTGCCTGGGAAAGCAGCAGAAGATGGCCCAAGTCCTTGGGCCCCTGTACCCACGTGGGAGACCTGGAAGAAGCTCCTTGTTTATGACTTTGGCCTGGTCCAGCCCTGGCTGGTGTGACCATTTGGGGCGTGAACCAGCAGATAGATGATCTCTTTATCTCTCCTTCTGTCTCTAACTCTGCCTTTCAAATAAATAGAATAAATATTAACAGTATTCTTTTTTTAATCTGACACTAGCCAGGGTAAGCTTAAGAACTGACTTCCTTTCTTTTTTAAAGGTTTATTTATTTATTTGAAAGGCAGAGTTGGAGAGAGAGGTCTTCCATCTACTAGTTCATTCTTAAAAGGGCCGCAACGCCTGGGGCTGCTGGATTAGGCTGAAGCCAGGAGCCTGAAACTCTGTCCAGATCTACCATGTGAGTGGCAGGAGCCCAGTTACTTGGGCCATCTTCTGCTGCTTTCCCAGATGCATTAGCAGAGAGCTGGATCAGAAGTGGAGCTGCTGGGACTTGAACTGGCACCCATATGGCAGTGGCTTAATCTGATGTGCCACAACGCCAGACCCTACTGACTCTTTAATGATTGTTTTTTTCATGCCTTTTTCTTTTTCCCTGAGGGATTGGTGTATTCACTTGAAGAGTCTCTCATAATTTACATAGTGTGTAAACCATTCTGTATTTTATTACTGTGGTTAAAAAAAAAGAAGCCACATAATGTTAAATTTACCATCTTAACCATTTTTAAGTGTACAGTGCAGTGGTGTTAGATGTCACGTTGTTGTGGAACAGACCTCCAGAACTCTTGCACCTTGCTCTATACTCACTGAAGAACAGCTTCCTATTTCTTCCTCCCCCCAGCTGCTGGCAGCCACAGTTCTGCTTTCTGTTTCTCTGAGTTCCACTACTTTAGACACTTCTTTTTCTTTTTCTTTTTTTTAAGATTTTTTTATTTGAGAGGCAGAGTTACACAGAGACACAAAGAGATCTTCCATCCACTGGTTCACTCCCCAAATGGCTGCATCTGCTGGGGCTAGGCCAGGCCAAAGCCAGGAGCTAGGAGCTTCATCCAGGTCTCCCACGTGGGTACAGGGGACCAAGGACTTGGGCCATCCTCTGCTGCTTTCCCAGGTGCATTAACAGGGAGCTGGGTTAGAAGTTTGGCATCTGGGATTCAAACCAGCGTCCATATGAGATGCTGACGTTGTAGGCGGTGACTTAACCTGCTGTACCACAGCATTGGCCCCTGTATCCATTTTCTTTATGCATTCATCTATGAATGAATATTTGGTGTAGGTGCATTTCTTGGCTTATGTGAATTATGCTGCTATGAACACAAGTTTGCAAGTGTCTCCTTGAGATCCTGTTTTGAATTCATTTGGACCTTGGAAGTTGGATAATCTGTATCCTTTTCTGATATAAGGAAATATTCTATACATTAGTTGCCTAACTGGAAAATTTAATTTTGGGTTGAAAATTCAATATTTGAAAGCAAGGAAATTAATTTTAAAGTGATATTATTACTTTATTTAAATAAAGATTTTTATTTATTTATTTGAGAGGCAGAGTTAGAGGGAAAGACTGGTTCACTCTCCAGATGGCCTCAATGGCCAGAGCTGGACCAATCCAAAGCCAGGAGCCAAGAGCTTCTTATGGGTCTCCCATGTGGGTGCAGGGGCCTAAGCAGGTAGGCCATCTTCCACTGCTTTCCCAGGCCATAGCAGAGAGCTGGATCAGAAGAGGAGCAGCCAGGACACAAACTGGCGCCCATATGGGATGTGCTACAGGCAGAGGCTTAGCCTACCATGCCAAAGCGCTGGCCCTTAACTACTACTTTTTTAAAACAAAATGTTTCATAGTGATAATAAAAAATACCAACTCATATAAAATTATAGAAATGCATTTCATTGATTTCACAGTAATCTCCAAACTACAACATTTTAAAGTGAAAGCAAATGAGTTGATGAAGTATTTATTTTTTGGGGGCTGGCATTTGGCATTATGACAGTGCTTGGGATGCAGACTTCCCACACTAGAGTGCCTGGGTTCAAGTCCTGGCTCTGCTTCTAATTCCAGCTTCCTGTTAATGCATACCCTATTAAGCATTAGGTTATGGCTTTAGAAGTTGGGTTCTTGCCCCCTACAGTGGAGACCTGGATTGAATTTTAAGTTCTTGGCTTTGACCTGGCACAGGGCACTTGGGGAGTAGTGAACTCATGGATGAGAGATCTGTCTGTCTTATTGGTTCACAATGAATTCTCCTTTGAACTCTGCCCTATTTCTTCTTGCTTGTGGGTGTAGGTAACTGCTGTCTGAGGTTATAGCATTTCTAAATTCTTAGGCAGTACAGTTGTCATTTTTATTCTCCTTGAAATGAAAGTTTATTTAATTCTTTTTTGAGACATAGTAATTTAGAAAGAATACCTTTATGACATTTTAGACAACTTTGGTGATGTATTTGTTCCTCTAATGTACATTACTGCCTTTGTTTGCAATATTTTAGATTTGAGGCAAGAACTAGCAGTCCGAGAAAGACAACAGGAAGTGACCAGAAAGTCGGCTCCTAGTTCTCCAACTCTAGACTGTGAAAAGATGGATTCTGCTGTACAAGCATCACTTTCCTTGCCAGCTACACCTGTTGGCAAAGGGACAGAAAACAGTTTTCCTTCCCCAAAAGGTTTGTAGCGTATTTTCTTTTAGAGGCTGTGTCAGCTGGGCAATGTGAGAGGACTTGTTGCTGAAGCAGGGATTGCTAAGGTTTAAGCAGCCATTGTAGTTTGTAATAGGTTAAGTCTACTGCTGGCTGAAGCAGAGGAGGAATTGTTTTCTTAAAGCAAGCATAGGTAGGAATCACTGAGATGATGGCTACACTTAAGTTGAATAACCTAATAATTTGAGATTTTAAAAAGTTAAAGATTTTTAGGGAAATTTTATTTTCTGATTATAGTAGTAATACATGTTATGTAGAAAATATTTTAAAACCCACAAAATAAAAGGGAAATAAAAACCATCTGCAAATTTTAGAAACACTGGAAGAAATAAAATGAGAACCATCTGTACTTACTACTTGAAGCTAACGACATTAACATGTCTCTTATGTGTGTGCGTGTGCATGCACGCCTCCTTGTCCCACACAACTTTTGGGATTATAGTTAAATAGTTGTACTTTTTTTCCCAATTACTGAACCAGGAGAAACTTCTGTTTGTATGCAGAAGGTGCAGAGGACCACCAGGTCACCATGCAGACTCCCGTGAGACTGGCCTGGGTGGACACGCCCACTCTGTCACATGCTTTCAGAGCTGCCATTTTCAACTGTGGCATTCAGAGTAAATGATGAGTAGTACATTGAGAATATTCTTTTTGCCATCAGCCAATATGTGTTTTGTTTTTTTTCTTTTTTGAATCCAAATAAGCAGAAAAAAACAGTATCTAGAAAAACCAGTAGCCACTGGCTAGAACCTTCGATTGGAATCCTAAAGCTCTCCATTTAGATTTTTATTTAGCTTGCAGATCAGATTTCAGCTACTCCCACTCCCACATGCCTTTTTACTCCAAACTGAAGAAATTTGTCCTCCTGCCTCCTTTTCATCTACAGGATTTTATCTTTCAGAGTGATAACGAGGTTTACTCTCTGGGCAGTTAGTATAGCAAGCTCTTCTGTATCTGCTGGTCAACATAGTAGCCACTAGCTTCATAGGACTATTTAAATTTAGGTTAATTAAATGAAATGAAATGTGCAATTCAGTTTCTTAGTCAGGGTAGTCATATTTTAAGTGCTTAATAGCTCCTACATAGATAATTCAACTTGTCTGCCTTGTCATGAGGTAGAATTAGATGAAGTGTGAAGATGCATGTAGTTGTGTGTGAGTAATCGTATGAGAGTACTGGGATAGAACGGGCAGTATAAGGTCATTAGAAGCTCTCCCTGTCAGTTTTTGTTGGGGTAGCTGCATGTGTAAACAGAGGCTTTTATCATAATTGCTAACACTTGAGTTTAACAAAATTTTGCTTCTATCTAGCTTACCAGAATTCTGCAGATGGGTTCAAAAAATTCTTTAGTTGAGCACTCATCAACATGATTAAGAACTTGAGTTTAGGGGACACACAAGGGCAGTATGCATTCCTTGGAAGTCCTGAGAGTTTTAGGGAGTCCACAGGACGTAGAATTAGGTGTCATTCCCAAGGCCACACTGTTTTTCCACTTCGATACGTTTGTAGACTGGAACTGATAGGGTAAATTTCACTAGCCTGAAAGCTGCTGCCTATTAGACTCTGCGGTTGTATGACAGGAGTGCCCAGACGTGAGGTAGGTGGTTAGAGAGATCAGTGAGAAGACTGAAGAGCTGACGTCTGTGAAGTGGTTTTTAATTAAATTTCATTTATATAATCCCAGTTTCCAAAAAGTGTTCAAGGCAATTTACCATAAAAGCACAGATTTAAGAATACCCAAAATGCAGAATTTGAGGAGAATATGGAAAAATGAGATGCAGAAATCCCTGCTGAGAAAAAGGCGGCAGTTGATTTCTGTCATATGGAGCACCTGCTGTAGGCTGTGCCTCATGCGGGATGCTGGGAGTTGACAAAGAAGACAAAGGCTGTGCCTGTAATGAGCTTGCATTCTGGAGGAGGGGCAGCAAATAGCAAAGCCCCCACACTGATGTCTGATTGGCTGATCAGCACTCTGTAGAAAACAGATTTTTAAAAAAGCTCACATTTACTGAGTACTTATGTGCTAGGCTTTCTTGAAGTTAATATGCTTTAAATTAAACTTCACGATCAATTTAACTTCACTTCATGAAGTTAGTGCTGTCTGCCTCTTTTTCACTTAAAGGTAACTTGCCCAAGGCATACATCCAGTGACAAATCCAGTGGATTTGTATGCAGCTGTTTGGCTCAAGCGCTCTTAATCATTATGCTCTATTATTTCTTAAAAATGAATACACACCATTGAAAACCTTTTCTGAAGAGCATGCAAAAAGGCGTGAGTAAATATGGTGAATACTGTTGATTCTGAATGGGGAGATTTAACATTTTATGATGTCCACTCTCCCCAAATCAGTCTATAATTCCAACTTCTCATAAAAATCCCATCAGGATTTTTAAAGTGAACATTGATATTAAAGTTATTCCGTAGCAGTAAAGAGAAGTTTGGAATAGGATAGTTATAAGAAGGGTCTCTCTGCCCTTTGAGATACCGGAATATGTCTTAGTGCTGTAGTAATTAAAGTAGTGTATTTCAGGCGGCATAGATGCATAATTCAGTAGCACTGAAATATATTCATGTATGTAGAGTTTAATGTGCTTGTAGTACCATTTCAGATGAGTCTTCACGAAAATGGTACTAGGACAATTGACTGGATGAAGTTTAGAAGGCTGCCTTACATCCAGATAACTATAAATTCCTGGTGAATTAAATGATCTAAATGTATGAAAAAGGCTTGAAAACTATGGGGAACATTGTTATATTGACATGGCGAAGCCAGAGATTCTCCCACAAAAAGAAATGTCTCACTAAAAGTTGCAAACCATACATACAAGAAAGAGTTGAATATATATAATGTATAGAATCCTTACAGATTGATTAAAGAGAGACAAGCCAGTAGGAAAAGTACAGAGGATAAACAGATGAGTTCCAGAAGAGGAGATTCAAGTGACTGTACAGAAATAAAAGTTAAACTGTAACTACCTACCCACCCCCCACCAAAAGAAAAGAAAGAGATTATCTGGTATTAAACAGACTGCTGATACTGGCACACCTTTTAGAGAGCATTTTGGCAGTGTCTGTTAAGGTGAGAAAAACGGGCATGCCCTGTGGTCTAGTGGTTCTGTTTTTAGTATACTGCTTTATAACATGAGCAGTACAACCTGACTATAAAGGGAACTGTCAGTGTACTCACTTAACCTTTGTTTTTCTCTAGCTATACCAAATGGTTTTGGTACCAGTCCACTAACTCCTTCGGCCAGGATATCAGCGCTAAACATTGTGGGGGATCTCTTACGGAAAGTAGGGGTAAGCAGTCATTTATTTATTCATGAGATATTTACCCTGCCAACGTAGCATTGTTTCTTTATTTGGATGGGGGAAGAATAAAGATGCCCTCCTATGGTAAAGGCTGTAATGAATTGAGATCCTAGAGCGTCCAGTCACTGGCAGAGGCTCGTCCAGACACCTCCAGGACTGGGTGTGCCAGCACCCTGCAGAGGGGCCTGAGCTCTGAGCTTACCACTTGGACATTCTTCCTGTACCCCACAGCTGTTTCTTTTTCTTTTTCTAAAGATTGATTTATTCACTAGAAAGTCAGAGTTACACAGAGAGAGAGAAAGGTCTTCCATCTGCTGGTTTACTCCCTAGTTGGCTGCAAAGGCCAGAGCTGTGCTGATCTGAAGCCAGGAGCCTTCTCTGGGTCTCCTATGTGGGTGCAGAGGCCTATGTGGGCCATCTTCTACTGCTATCCCAGGCCATAGCAGAGAGCTGGATTGGAAGTGGAGCAGCCGGGACTCAAACCGGCACCCACATGGGATGCTGGCACTGCAGGTGGCGGCTTCACCCACTGCGCCACAGCACCAGCGCCCCCTACAGCTGTTTCTACGGCAGGATGTCTCTGTCCTTGTCTAAAATACTTTGTGTAAAGCTTGCTGTCTCTGGCCTCCCTCTGACCCTGTTCTTTGCTGCCTCTACCATCCTTCTGGTCATTTTCTTGTCTTTTGTTGAGTAGGACGTTAACATTGGAGTCGTGACCTTGCTTTCTACTTTCATCTTGCTTTTCTCCCTGTTCCTGCCCTGCCGTAACTTCAGTGCCTTTTCTTTGGCTGCTGCTGGTGCTTTTTTTTTTTTTTTTTTTTTTTAGATTTATTTATTTGAAAGGAAGAATTAAAGAAAGGAGGAGAGAGAGAGGCAGAGCTTCCATCTGCTAGTGCACGCCCCAAATGGCTGCAGTGGCCGGGGCTGGGCTAGGGTGAAGCCAGGAGCTTCATCCAGGTCTCCTATGTGGGTGCAGGGGCCCAAGAACGTGGACCGTCTTCTGCTGCTTTCCCAAGCCATTAGCAGGGAGCTGGATTGGAAGAGGAACAACCTGGACTGAAACCGGCACCCATATGGGATGCTGGCACTGCAGGTGGCAGCTTCACCCACTACACCACAGCACCAGCCCCTCTCCTTGGCTTCTAACCTCTAATACAGAAAGAACAGTTTGGCTCTTAAAATACTCGAGTTGTTTTTTGCTTGTTTGGTTTTTTTCTCTGTATTGAGAGTAGTACTCCCTTTGCTTGTTTGTCTTTATCAGTCATCTCTGCTTTCCCTTCCTTTCTGCTAATCCCAGAGATCACTTTTCTTGTTCCTCCTGACTGCATGGTCTCTTTGGCCACAAAAGAGAGCTGCAGTCTGGATCATCCAAGCCACTGGATTACTAGAGACGGTTGTAGAGCCAACGGGTTCATGCCACTGCTCTGAAGTTTGAGCACTGTGGCCTCACTCCCTTCCTGTTTCTCTTACTCACTCTTAGCTCTCTTTTTCAGTGGTCATCCCTGTGACTCCTCATGGTGCAGTATCCTTTCACTTACTTTTTGTGTGAGATACTGTGTGGGGAAAGTAGAAATTGCATTATACTTTATCTAGAGGAAACGGGGGTTGGGGGGGAGCCAAGACATAAGGTCCTGCTTGCCTTTTATAATATGCATTATTTTCTAACCATCAGATTGACTCTGCATCCATATTTTCATGTTGCTGTGAAAATGTGAACAAATGATTCCTGCAATACAAAATCTTTTCTCACTCCCAAGATAACCGTTTTTTTTTTTTTTTTTTTTTTTTTTTTTATTTTTGACAGGCAGAGTGGACAGTGAGAGAGAGAGACAGAGAGAAAGGTCTTCCTTTGCCGTTGGTTCACCCTCCAATGGCCGCCGCGGCTGGCGCGCTGCGGCCGGCGCACCGCGCTGATCCGATGGCAGGAGCCAGGAGCCAGGTGCTTTTCCTGGTCTCCCATGGGGTGCAGGGCCCAAGCACCTGGGCCTTTCTCCACTGCACTCCCTGGCCACAGCAGAGAGCTGGCCTGGAAGAGGGGCAACCGGGACAGAATCCGGCGCCCCGACCGGGACTAGAACCCGGTGTGCCGGCGCCGCTAGGCGGAGGATTAGCCTATTGAGCCACGGCGCCGGCCAATTCTTTCTTTTATTTACTGCATTGAAAGAGCTACAGAGAGAAGGATCTTGCACTCGCCGGTTCATTACCCAGATGGCTAGACTGGGCCGGGCCGGGCAAGGCCAAAGTGGGAGCCAGGAGCTTCTTCTGGGTCTCCCACAGAGAGACCCAGAGCTGCTTCTGGACGCAAGCACTTGGGCCATCCTTTGCTGCTTTCCCAGGCCATTAGCAGGTAACTAATTGAAAGTGGAGCAGCTGAGATTTGAACCAGTGCCCATATGGGATGCCCATGTTGCAGGTGGCAGCTTTACCTGCTGTGCCACAGTGCCAGTCCCAACAATTCTTTCTTGTTTTTGTGTGAAAGCAGTGTTGGCTCAATTCTGAACATTTTCACAGTTTCTCAAAGGGGCTTCTATGTTCTGTTGTCCTTGATAATTATGACCCATTTGTAGAGAGAGTGATGTGACACACAGTCTATTCTGAAAAGGGTCTAACTGTACATCCTTTAATGGAGTGTTCTGGTTTATCTCTGTCCCCTAAGAGCATTCTACCCCAAAATGTATGCATTTCACTAAGGACACTGTTAAAAGCACATTCCAAAATGCCCGTAAACTAGAACTTAGTTCTAACCATTGGGGTTCCTCAGCTGGGGTAAGTATACAGTTCATTTTCTCCAGGTGTAGCTGTTTCAGCCAGATGCCTAAGGCGTGCCCCATTTTTACTCCCTAATGGTAAATGAGTGCATAGATAATTTGTACATTACAGTAGTCATTTCCCCCAAATGGCATGGAGAAGGTTTGTGTAGTCTTCATGAGTGTTGGAAATAATGGCTAATTATTTTTTCCTGCAACTGGTGATTACCTCCAGTAGACTAGTTATTAGGCTTTCTCTGGAGTCGTATTTCTTGGTGGGTGTCGGGCACCTTCAGACATGAGAACAGGCTTGGCCGGCACTGGGCTGCGTGGCGTCTGCCTTTGCTCTGGAAGGCCCTCAGGGCAGTCACAGTGAGGGAGGAGTAACACTGTCCCTGCCGGCTCACTGCTCCTGCCTTCAGTTGGCTCCTGTTGCAGGGCACTAGGGCAGGCACTGCCCAGAGCCGCACCCACTCTTGGGGAGCAGTAGAGGATTCGGTGTCAGCCCTGCACACTCTGACTGGACCTGTCCCCTGAGGAGTGGCCTAGATGTAGGCATAGAAGCTTTTTTCCTTGCACTGCACCTGAAACTGTACACCTGCAACAGACATTGCTTCGTTTTGGTTTTAAATTGTACAAATTTTATATTATACCATTTCTTATTAAAAATTCAAAGTGCTTTTGTAGGCTGGCCTTTGCTCGAGTGCTTAGATGATGTGATAAATGGGTTTTCTGCACGCTGAAGTATTAACCTCCTGCTACTTGAGTTATCTTGGCCTCGTTGCTGTAATCCTGAGATAACTCCTTTGAGGGTTTTGCTGTGTCTTCGCTTTCTTGCTGCTTTGCCTTGATTCTGGCTTCCTTCTGGCTTGCTTCGCTCTTACCTCTAGCCTTTCTTCCTGCTGACCTACTGACTAGATGAAAACGAAGGTGGTGTGTTCCAGCTGCAAAAGGAAGGTTCCCAGATCCATTACTAAATGTGGCAGGTTAAAAAAAGAAAAAAGCCAGTCCTCTTAGAAGGGTCCATTTTAACAAGCCCTTGGCATTGGGACCGGCCTGTCCCATCCCTCCCTCCTGAGTCTGTGTGTAGCACTGTCACTATAGCTTACTGGTGTTGCCCACAGACCTGAGGGAGGCTTGTCTGGGGGAAGGAGTTCATCAGAGTGGGCTTGTGTGTGGGTGTACGTATGTGCACCCCACCTGCCCAGTCCTCATGAGGACCTTCAGGGGCGACGAAGCCCCACCACGCACAATAGCGTCCCTCATGTAGGTGTCTGCTCTGTGGGCTTCCCCACCACGCACAACAGCGTCCCTCACGTAAGCGCGTCTGCTCTGTGGGCTTCAGAGGTGCTCTGGGAGCCCGTCTGGGATCCCTTCTGCCAGTTCTGCCGTGTGGACTGTGCATCTGCCTCCTGCCCCCGGCGTGGACAGCCTCTGTGTCACCCAGGTGAAGGGCACATTTCACGTGCAGTGCAGTCACTTATTCTCTCAAAGACATTCTTTTTTTTTCTCCATGATTTTTATTTAGTTCCTTATGTGTTGCTTTCCTATTTTTGTCAAGCAAGCTGATTTCTTTGGGGCTGTGTAGGTGGGCATGGGCTAATTTTAGGGCATGGTGTGTAAATAGTATTTGTATTACAGTTAATGTCTTTTCCTTTTTTTTTTATTAGGCAAGAAAAAGTCATATTTCCCACGTTATTCATGGGTAACTGAATTTGTTTGCTGTGCTCTTTTTTCTTTCTTTCTAAATCATGGTGTGGGGTGGAAGATGCATTAACAAATTGGTTTTACTAACTGCATGGGGCTGACTCGGCTTTAACCAACTTACAGCCCATGAGTAAGCTTTCAAGAGCCTATTTGAGTCAGCTGTACACTATCGTTAATAGTTCAGCTGTGAGCAGGGAAAACAGATGAGTTGCTGTGGCTCTGGGGTGGCTTTGGATGGCTTGCCCGGTGGCCCTCCTCGTAAACGGGGCAGGATGTTATGCGATGATGTCAGTCTGAGGGTGGGGCACTGGTCACAGCGGGGACCTCAATAGCTCACTGTTTTCATGAGGTGAGGGTTCTCCTGTCATCCAGTAGCTTCTGTTTTTTTCAGATCAGTCACAGTGGCCATGGAGCCTTCTGAGGGGGACTCCCTCACCTCTGTGTGCAGTCTGGCGTTCCCAAGCTCAGTGGGAGGGGTAGAGGGGGATGGGTGTGAATCTACCCTGCAGCTCAGCCTGGGCCGAGGCCTGGGGCTCACCAGAGCTGCTGCGAGCTTCCACTTACCCACTGAAACAGGAAGACTTGGTTCTGGGGAGCCCTTTCTTGGTGTTTTTTTTTTTTTTTTTTTGTGGTGTCCTCTCAGCTGTCCCGACCTTGCTTCTTTTTTTTTTTTTTTAAATTTATTTTTGTATTTATCTGAAAAACAGAGTTACAGAGAGAGGAGAGGAGGAGAGGCAGACATTTTCCATCCATGGTTCACTTCCCAAATGGCTGCAATGGCCAGGGCTGGGCCAGGCTGAAGCCAGGAGCCCAGAACTTCTTCCAGGTCTCCCATGTGGGCAAGGGCCCAAGCACTTTGGCCATTCTCCACTGCTTTCCCAGGCACATTAACAGGGAGCTGGATTCTTAAGTGGAACAGCCAGGTCTTGAACCTGCACCCATATGGGATACCAGTGTCCCAGGCAGAGGCTTAACCTGCTGCACCACAGCGCTGGCCTTGCTTCTTGACAGGTTGAGTTTCCATCCTTTATCTCTGCTGTGTCAGGTTAGTGTCTCTGAACACGCTCCACCCTTCCCTCTCTGCTCCCACTGCCATTTGACAGCTGACCTTAATACCTTTTCTGAGTGGGGGTTTCTGTTTTTCAAATTCCTTACCTCACCTTTGGGGGTGGAGTATGGCGTTCATAGTTTCGAGAGCCCTTTTTGCATAGCTAATTCTCAGACGCGTCTTTCCTCCCTGCTGTTTCTCTCTGATTGGCCCTGCACTGTCCACTGGGATGTTTCTTTTGGTTGCTGCTCCCTGAAACCAAATGTTGTGTGTCCAGCAGTGTTTCTTCTCATGGGAACCTTTCCCCATCTCAAAACTTTGCCTTGCCTGATGGACCTCACCAGACCTGTAATCCCACCCGTATGGCCAGCTTGCGTATCCTTGTGGTCTTCTGCTTCCACTTCTTGAGTGGTGCCAGGTGGGGCTCTGGCAGATTGTCCTCTTCAGGTCAAGAGTTCATTTCCACCCACACAGAAAAAGTACTTGTCTAGTTCTCTCCTCTCCTTTCCACCCACACAGAAGAAGTACTCGTCTAGTTCTCTCCTCTCCTTATACCCTTGACTGTACTGCTTGTTTTCCCAGTGGATCTGGCCTGCATGGGGGCAGCAGTGATTGCTTGCTGAAGCTGCCCATTGGGAAGGGACAGTGGCTGAGCAGGTTGTAGGTCCCTCTCCCCATGGCCAGCTCCTGGGGGAACTCAGGGTGCTGCCTGGCCCTTCCCTTGCTTTGGTTTCCTTGGCAGTATGACAGTGGGCATGATCTCGGTGTTTCTTAGGGTTCCATCCGTTTGAAAATGCTCGAGTCCCAGTCTGAAAGCTGCACGTGGCCCATCCAGAGTGCTTTGCTCACCTGGGTGGACTGCCTGCCAGGTTCTTCTTGGCCTTCCAGGCTGCCCCTGAGTTTGGGGGCTGTTGTGTACAGCTTGTCCTGCTGCTGTGATCCGTGAGGCTGGAGCCTGTGGTCATCTCTTGATCGCTGGGCTGTTAGTGAGGCCTGCCTCGGTCTGCCTGAGGTTTCTAGGAGAAGCAGGCTCTGGGGACTGTGGTACCAGGCAGATGATGATGGATGGGGCTTGTTAGGTAGGGCTGCCTTAACAAACAGGATGTGGCCTCTTTCCCCAGAAGAGGTGTGGGCATGAGCCCTGAGAGAATGGGGAAGGATGATTAGAAGTTTTCAAAAATGATGAAGCTCAAACATCAGACCTCCCTTAGCCCAAAAAGAGAAGGGAAAATCCAGGCTGTCTGTCACGGGAGTGGATCCATGGCCACCAGGGAGAAGTTGGATTTGCCCGAGCCTCCTTCCCATTGCTCTTGGTATCTGTGTGCGTGGCTGAGTTCCACACCCCAAATTGGTATTCTGAGTTCAGTTCCTTTAGACATGAACTTCTGCTTCAGAGTCTCTTTCGGTGCCTGTTTCTGAGTTTCACTTGCCTCTTCAGAGTTCAAAATGATTGTCTTTGCAGAAAATGTGTCTCCCCCCACCCCTCCCTTGGCTTTTTATTCATTTGAAAGAGTTACAGAGTGAGAAGGAGAGACAGAAGTCTTTCATCCACTGGTTCATTTTCCCAGTGGCTGCAACGGCCAGGGGTTGGCCAGGGCTTAGCCAGGCCAAAGCCAGGAGCTTCTTTCAGGTCTCCCATGTGGGTGCCAGGGGCCCAACTACTTAGGCCATCTTCCATTGCTTTTCCCAGGCTGCTAGCAGGGGGCTGGATTGGAAGTAGAGCTGCCGGCACTTGAACCAGCATCCATATGAAATGCTGGCATTGCAGGTAGTGGCTTAAGCTACTTTGCCACAATGCTGGCCCCCTCTTTTTTTTTTTTTTTTCTTTCTTTCTTTTAAAGAAAATCTTTCTACATGAGCCTTTATCGAATTGCTAGGACCCTCTACTGAGTAGGTGGGGAGCCAGAGAAGGGAAGGTGTGCCTCTTCGATTGCTAGTGGGACAGAAGCTTTCAGGATAGAAGGGCTGGAGTGGCCTCCCACCTAAGAGAGCTTCCCGGCCTGTACTCTTTCCTCCTGCCTTCCCTCACTGCTTCCTGTGGCTGCACTGCGTGGTGAGTGGGGCTGGGGCTGGGGCTGGGGCTGGACCTTGGGTGTGGGTCCGGTGCAGCTGCTTCTGCTGGCCTGGGCTGCCTGTGCGGGAGTCTGTAGAGAAAACTACCCATCTGGCTTTGCTTGCTAAACAGTTCTTACAAAGTTATTTTTCTCCCCCTTATTAAGATTCTCATGTGCATTGTTGAAGATTTAGAAGCAAAACAATAAAGTCATAAACAAAATTTGCTTGCAACCCAGAGGGAAGAAAAGTAACTTGTGAAATTTTCCTTCTCTGATCTATAGCAGTATGATTTTATGTATGTATATGTATGTATATAAAATGTGTATGTATATGTATGATAAATATATTTTATATTCATGTGTGGGGTGTGTGTGTACAAATAAGATAGCTCAAAAGCTTTGTGGACAAGTGGAATTAGAAGAGATTTTGATGCAGAAAACTGGAAATAATGCATAGTTTTACCATGCCAGGCATTTTCCAGGAACTTTTGGAGTCTTCTCATCTATACACTTCACATAAATATATATCTACGTAAGACTTGCACGTTCTCGATTTAGTTCCACAGACTTCTAGTAGAACTGTCTGTCCATACGAGGGGCTTTAGTCTACAATCCAGACTGTATGCTACTTACTTGAACACACGGGTTGGTAACCTGCTGCTTTTTCCATTTGGCATTAATTACATTCTGAATATTTTTCATGCTGTTAACTCTGTGGAATGCATTTCTTGTGGCTGTATAATAGTTCACTTTTTAGTTGTGTTTATTTAGCTAGTTCTCTACTGCCAGACATTTAGACCTTCTCTACCCAGAAAGTGGCCAGGCCAGTGGCCACAGTGGGTGGTGTGCTGAGGTTGCCAGCTCAGTGCCAGCTCAGTGGCCCCGTCCGTACCCAGGACAGGGCCCTGTTGGTTTAACTGCTGCTTTCACCTGGGAGCTGGCAGGATCCTCTCATGGGGCCTGGAAGAGGGATAGTTGTAGAAAGCAAACTGATTTCTTGCCGTGTACGGAGTGATTTTGAATGACAGTTTCTCTCTTTCTCTCTTCCCCTTCCCTCCCTTCTCTGCTCTGGTCACCTCCACAGGGCAGTAAATGGCTTTGACCCAGCTCCTCCTCCTCCTGGCCTGGGCTCCTCGCGCCCGTCGTCAGCACCCGGTATGCTGCCGCTCAGTGTGTGAGTGCCCGGCCTCCGGGGGGCTCCTGCCCTCCTCCAACAACCCAGGACACCCACGCCTCACCCCTCGGTGCCTGGGCCCAGCCCTGTGCCCTCCATCTGCCTCCCCACACGGCTGGCAGAGGGCAGGCTGCATGCAGTGGCGGCTGCTGGGCCCTGCCCAGCCCCAGGACTCTGCGCGATATCAATACTGGCTATTTTCTCTTCTCGCCGTAGTGCCGTTGGTTTCACATGATTGCACTTTTGTGGGTCACGAGGTGATACATACTTGTATTACTTGGTCACTGGATGCAGAAGTACCCATTTGTCATCCCTGCCTCATAGCCCCCGCCCTGCTGTACTGATAGGATTTAGTTGTGTTTAGGACATTGCGAATCTTCTACAAGTTCTCCCCCAATCAGGTTGACACATACCCTCCTCCTGAGCCCCCCGAGCCCCCTGGGCGCCCTCAGTGCTCACGATCATGTGTTTCCCGGCCCTACCCCCAGTCTGGGCCCGTTCTGCCAGGAGTCAGGAAGGTCGCTGAGTTAGGGAATATTGTCTGTTCCTCCTCGTTTTACGTAGCAGTTACCATTCCATAGACTGCCTCCCAGAGCAGCGAAACGCCCTGCTGAGCCCCCTGGCAGGAGCCTCGTGCCTGGGCACGCACGGGCTGAGCCTCGGCCATCTCCTCCTCCATGTGCCTCAGACTCGGGGGAGGGGTGACGGCGTCCGTGCCAGCTCTGGTCCTCGGGTAGTGTCGTGACATCTTCAGAGTTTCTGTTCTCGCTGGATGGCCCGTCAGTTGTGTTAGGAAGGTGGAGTGGCCAGATTCGGGGGCAGACTGACCACCAGTGGTTGTCCTGTGCATCCTTTGATTACTCTCATGCTGCATTTACTGTTTACATTTGTTTTATTGTACATAGGTTTGTAAACATTATTGCCTAAGATATTTGTATATAACTTGGGCTTTGTAGCTTTTATTTATTCAGAACTCATATGGCATGTTAATGGCTCCCGATGGTGTCCTACTCTGGGCAGCTGTATAGGATCATCATGTGGTTAAAAAACCAGTTCCCTCAAAAAAAATCTTTTAATGTGGAAACAATAAATTTCACAGAAAAAAAGGATTGAGGTTGCTTTCTTGGTTCCTTCCGTCCTGTGAAAAGAAGTGGGGCGGTTCAGACGACACTTGTGCTCCGACAGGGGCCGTGGAGCGGGGCACGGAGACACAGGTGGCCCCAGGAGGCGTCTTCAGCGCCAGTCTGCAGCCATAGCCGTGGTTTCCAGGCACAGCCTGGGAATGGCCTAGGCCGGGTCCTGGGGTCACCGGGAGGCTCTGGGAGCTGTACTGCCTTCACCGTGGATGCTGTCGCTCACTGTGGGGTTAGACTTCCTGTGGATCTGGGCTCTTCTGTTCAGGGGATGCTTGCGAGAGGACGGGGTGCCAGGACACGGGGCGGCACTTGCAGGCGTGGATGGGCAGGGTCTGACTGTGTCAGAGTCCTGACAGTGTTGGTTACAGCAGCGACTCCCATGCCTCAGTGCATAGCAGACATGGAGTGGGGGTACGTTTTGCTCTGCTGTGGGCAGGAGTAGCTGCTGCTCGCTGGTCCTAGAGGTTGTGGCCCCTCGCTGACTCCCTGAGACACCTGTGGCCCGTGGAGCTGGCAGAGCGGCTGAGAGGGCTCTGCAGTCTTCCCGAGCTGCAGGACTTCCGGCCTCGTGCCCGCCTTGGTTGCAAGGGTCAGATGACTCAGCGGCGTCCACGTTTAACCGACCTCTTTGTTTCTGCAGCAGCCCCGAGTGTAAAACCTGACAAGCTGTCCCACCTTGTTGCAGCAGGAATGAGGTCTGGAGCCCTGCATCCTTGTCCTTGGCCCCGAGGGAGTTCTCAGTCCCCTTGCACTTGCTCCTTGGGGCTCATCCCATCCACCCTGTTCCGTTGGTTGCTGGTCAGTCACTTGATGGGACACCACCACTAGTTTGGTCCGGGAGAGCATGGGCAGTGGCGCTGTGTGGCCGGGCGGGGCTCCAGGCCCCTCAGAAGACCCCACTTATTTCAGTCTTCGTAGACTCCACGAGGAAACTAGTTGGCTGACCCTTGTTTTCAGATTTCTTTTGGGGTTACCTGGTTCAAAACACTGCTTTGTACTTGCTCCAAGCATTTGCTGCCGGCAGGAATGCTCTGCTTGCTGTGTCCTGTGTAGCTAACGTGGCCTCCGAGGGCCTTCTCCCCCAAGGCAGCCTGCTGTCCAGTTTCGTCCCTCGTGCTGGGTCCCCGTGGTGGTCTTCCTGCTGGAGGGGGCTGCTCTTTGCAGGTGAAGGCCAGCTCTGCATGCGAGTGTCTTCCTTTCACCCCTCCCCCCACCCCCTGCGCCCCAGACGTCTTCCTGGATGGGAGCAGGGGCCAGCACTCTACTGCCTTTCTGCCAGAGTGTCCAAAATTACGACCCCTCCCCCTGCAACTCAGCGGAGAGCCAGGACAAAGCCGGGGCCCGAGGACTACCCGGAGCTGAAGTCAGGATCGGACAGGAGCCAGGACCTTCTGCTGCTGTGCCTTTCCAAAGTCGAGGCCTCAGCTGGCCTTGGCTGCCTCGGCCAGTCCTGGGTGTGAGGTGAGTGCCTTTTGAAGGCTGGGAAAGATGAGCCTGGGGCTGGTGCCCCCCTGGCAGCAGGGGAAAATGCAGTTCTCCTAGCCTTGGCCCCCCAGATCCTGTGCTTGGTGGGGTGTGCTGACTCTGCTGCCCCAGAGAGCCCAGGTAGAAGCTGGCACCTGGGGGTGGAGCCACAGCTCTGGGGAGCACCCTGTAGCCAGGTCTATGCCCCTCCCCCAAGGAACGAGGTTGGAGATAGGGCCAGGGCCCTGCCAGTCCAGTGTGCCTAGAGGGTGTGAGGTGAGCTTGTTGCCGTCCAATTGCCGCTGCGTTTTTTTTTTTTTTTTTTAATTTTAATCTATTTTTTTTATTTGACAGGTAGAGTAGACAGAGACAGAAAGGTCTTCCTTCCGTTGGTGGTTCACCCCCCAAATGGCCGCTATGGCTGGCGAGCTGCGCCGATCCAAAGCCAGGAGCCAGGTGCTTCCTCCTGGTCTCCCATGCGGGTGCAGGGCCCAAGCACTTGGGCCATCCTCCACTGCCTTCCCGGGTCACAGCAGAGAGCTGGCCAGGAAGAGGAGCAACCGGACTAGAACCCGGCGCCCATATGGGATGCTGGCACCACAGGCGTAGGATTAACCAAGTGAGCCACGGCGCCAGCGCGTGGGTTGTTTTACTCAGTATTTCCCCCAAAGGTTAAAAAAATTGAAAACACAAGCTTGGCCTTAAAAACAATGTTACTTGATTCTTTCCTAAAAATGTGAGTTGTTCTGTATGTAAATCACTTTTTCTGTGATTTAAAGCATTTATCTGTAAAGTGGTCCCATGACTATTCAAAAATATGGAAGTATAGTTTTTGAATTTTAAGAGTAAACACAAATGGGATAAACAGTAACATAACAGACTCCCTTTAGAAAGATCGGGCAGGTGAAGAGGCAAACAGAACAGGAAACCTAGCAGCGCTGGTGCCGGGGCCATGCGGGGTTTGTGCTGTGCGGGGTTAGGGTGGGTCCTGGGTCTGCGAGCTGCCCCGAGTTCTGCTCGTGCCTCCGGTCAGCTCTGCAGGAAGCACGATGCGTGCGAAGCTGAAACAGAACGGAACTTTCTCACGTGTGGCTGCTTTCTACTCGGTGCGAGCGTGCCCGTGGTCTCTGTTGCAGTGCAGAGGGCTGTGGGCAGAGGCCTGGTTAGGGCAGTGGGTAACTCGTGTGGGCGGGTAGGCCTGGGCAGTCGGTGTTCTGGCGTCATCTCCAGGTAGGCTCAGAGCCTACTGCTGCTGCCTTCTGTGGAGGGTGGTGCTGTGAGCAGCACTTGTTTGGTTCAAAATAGATGACTTTTAACTAGGAAGAGAATCACCAAATCAATCCTATTGGCACCTGGAATTTAGGGAGACGGGTGCAGGCTCTTCTGCATTGCCGGTGTCGCTGCTGGTATCCCAAGTCTTGGATCAGCGTGTGATCAGGTCAGGTAACCCCCCAGTATTCTGGGCTTCTTGGTGGGGGCGGAACGCGAGAAAGGGATGGATGCGCCCTCCCTCCTGTGTCACCACTGTGGGTGCTGCAGCCACAGCTTCTAGTATCTTATCCAAGAGCTCGTGGGTTTAGGGGCTTATTTGTCTCAAAAATTCAGAATTCTCCCCTACTAGCTGGCTCTCTCGGTGTCCTCCTCGGTGTTGGTTACTTCTTGGCAGACTGACTGTAGTTCCTGGTTCCACAGCGGCCAACTAGAAGGAATCTTCACTGAAAAAACCCACCACTGTGTAGTCTAATGAGTCACCTAGAAACCTTTGCCGGGCATTCAGAACACAAGGCCGACAGTTTATGGCCGCTGCACTGAGTGTGTCACAGCCTGAGCAGCCAGCTAGCTCCCCGCCGGAGTGTGGCGGTGAGGAGCGCGGGAAGGCCTGGGGCCAGCCTCCCCCTTCACTGAGAGGTTCAGATGAGGGCAGTTTTCACTCCGGGCCGGCGTGCAGAACCCCAGTGCTCTGCCCATACATCTCAGTGCACTGTTTGACACTAAACTGCCTTGGTGGGGATCGCGTGTCCACTGGCTTCAGGGCGTACTTTCTGTCACCAACTTTACCCATCCCTGGGAGAAAAAATATTTTGAAATCTACCCAAGAAATTTGGAAAAAATTCATGGAAAATGTGTATTATGTGTATATGGATTTCAACTTTTGTTCCAAAATAAGCTTATCTTTTTTTTGTATGATTTATTTGAAAAGCAGAGGGACAGAAAGAGACCAAGATCGTCCACCCCTGGTTCACTCTTCAGATGCCTGCAACAGCTAGGTCTGGGCCAGACTGAAGCTCAGCCAGGAACTCCATTGTGGTCTCCCACGTGGGGTCCAGTTTGCCTTCCCAGGTGTATTAGCAGGGAGCTGGACTGGAAGTGGAGCAGCTGGCTTTGAACCGGTGCTGGTTTTGTAAGAGGTGGCTGTTAGAAGCCCCTGCGCCACAACACTAGCCCCAAGCTTTGTTTTCAGTGTGCATTCTGCCCGCTCGGGACCCTTTAGATTGCGCAGATTCGGTAGTGAGTGTCACTCCCAGATTGCTCCCCTGACAGCTGGGTTCCAGCCCCTGCCCTCAGGCCCTCTCTTCCTCCCGGGTGCATCTCCCCTGGAGGCCGCCTGGAGTCAGGATTGCCCAGGGAATGGTTCTGCCATTCGGCAGTTTTTGGGAGACAGTGCCCCTGGAGAAAAGGGGGCCAGTGGTGTCAATTTAAGTCTGCATAGCTAGCCACCCTCCAATCCGATCACAGACGGAAAGCTGAGAACAGAAGGTGAAAACAAGATTCCATGGTCACGTGATTATTCTCGTTTATTGAGGTCTGTTCATTCTTAATGGGTGCTTTTCTCTCCAAGTAAACAGAGCAGGCGTAAATATCTATAATGAATAAATTTATTGTCTTACAAAAATCATTGTCTAGAAATATGGGAATACAAGAAAAGATATTTGCAGTCAGGTGTCTGGTGGTCAACAGCCAGGACAGTTCATAAAGGGGAAACTCAAAGATTCCAAACCCACACGACGAGTTCTGCCTAACAGATGTTAAAGCTTTTCACCCAAAAGGCTTGTGTTTTCAAGCACATTGCAGAGGATCAAGGATTTGTAATTAACACTGATTCATTGTCACTGAATGTTTGTAATACCACTTTGACTAGAGGTACATGATATGAAGCACAGTTAAAACTTAATACATTAAATTGTTGAGAGGCAAATAATATATTTTAACATTGTCTTAGTACTGTAGTGTCTAAGGCACTTTCTGTAATGTCAGTTTGCTCAGCTATCAACCAAAAACAGAATGCTAAGTGTTCACTGTAACACTGTCCCGAGGGGAGGGAAAAGGAAAAGTGAGAAGGGATTCACCCCACTGGCATGTCAACATTCAGGCAGTGGCCTCTGTCCCTGAGGTCCTCTTAACCTCACTGACAAGCTTGGAACAAGCCTCGGACACAAAACCTATGTTCCCATCTTGGGCTCAAAGCAGCGGCTGAATTTGCAGGGTCGGCATGGGGG